GTCAGGGGAATACAGATAGTGGGGATGGCCTGTCCCGATACAGGAGAACAGGGGAAATATTACGCCTTCGTATAACAGCCTCATACGTACACGCACGCCCTACGATCGTGTGTGGAACGCATAGCGATACCCGGAGCAACCCTCGCGAAAGTAATTTCGAGGACTAGGGGTTGTTTTCCCACAAATTCAGGGCCGTGTCAAGAGCTTACGAATTTTCTGAAGTTTTGTCCGATAAAATTTTCACTCGGTTTTTTAGTAACTTTTTAGGTCAGTTTTTAACTAATTTTACAAATTCCTCGTATTTTTTTAATAAAGTCACTATCGTACGACTTGCTGGATACTCACGAAAGCGACGCGTTCGCAGGACGTAGTGCGAATAAAATAGTCGTTTTCATGGGAATCCACTGATTTCGGCGAAAATCCATATATCACGGGTCAATCAAGGCGGCGTTTAAAAAAAATAATAAAGCACAAAAAGCCTGTACGCTTCTCGTTAGCATCAGTTGTTACCTGTGCGGATACGTTTATCAACAATAAAGATGCTTATCTTACGGGAAACTCCTTACCCGCGCAATCCGACGGTTTGAGCCTCGACAGATTTTTTCGAGAACTTTCAAAGATTCGCTGCCAGAGCAGTGTGGACTCGTCGTTCTTTCAGATATCCTTTATGAATCCGCCATTATACGAAATTTGATCCAGCTAAAAATTTTTGTATCGAACTGTACATTATAAGTTTATTGACTAAAATGCAAAAAATTTAATCGTACCGATAACAGATTCCGAATTCGTACCTCGTGCGAAAATTCTGAAAAATAGTCAAAAAAAAGATAATGAAAGAAAATCTTCTAAAAGCATATAAACGCTAATCTTATTTGACAACGCAGAAACGAATAGGTACTCACGCGATTGTTTTCTTGCGTCGGTGCTTTCAAAGGATTGCCTTTATATTTTTTTCAGAGTCCGCCCCTGAACACGCGAGTTCGCACGAGGGTGCTTGCTGTGGTATATGTGTTGATATATATATATATATATATATACTCTACTCGCGAAGAGCGAACCAAAGTGACGGGAGGAATACACGAGGGTGCTTGCTGTGGTATATGTGTTGAT